TCCCACCTCTTTGAGGGTGAAGGTCTCTCCCTGGGCCCCTGCAGCCTGCAGGATCCTCAGCAGAGGAACTTTGGGAATCACCTGGAAAACACAGCAGGGATTGCTTGGAATTCCAGCAATCAAATCCCCAAAAAAAAAACCCCACCAAAAAAAAAAAAAAAACAAGGAATTTGGATTGAACCCCTCCCAAAAAAAACCTCAAAAAATTTGGATTTAACCCCTCCCGCTTGGATTTGAGCATTTCCCAATATCTCATTCCCACTGGAAAAAATAGAAAATAAAAAGGGGGAAAATCTGGAAAATAAAAAGGGGGGAAAAACTGGAAAATAAAAAGGGAGGGAAAAACTGGAAAATAAAAAAGGGAAAACAAATTAGCTGCTAATTTTACCTGATTGGCTTGTCCAAGGGTGATCCTGCAGGAATTCCCAGCTCCTGGATGTTGGCTGGAATTTGGGAAGCTCATCCTGGCAGTGAGGAGCTGCTCCAACACCGACCTGAAAATGGATTTGGGGTTAAAATCGGCCCCAAAAATCCCAATTTTCATCTCTGCTGCTGCAGAGGGGGCTGGGAAAAGTTAAAAAAAAAAAAAAAGGGAAAAATGATCCTGGAAAAAATTGGGATGGGCTGGGCTGGTCAGGGTGGGGTTGTTATCCATGGAAGGTCAAAAATCCCTGAGGAAGTGGCACTGGGGGANAAAATGGGACTATCCCAGTTCAAAACAGGACTGTTCCACTGACCCCAAAGTGTCCCCAAAAACTGACCCTGAAAAGTGACCCCAGTGTCCCCAAAAAGTGACCCCAAAGTGACCCCAAAGTGACCCCAAAGTGTTCCCAAAGTGTTCCCAAAGTGTTCCCAAAGTGTTCCCAAAGTGACCCCAAAGGTAAAATGAGAATATTTTCCAGGTAAAGCTGAAATACAGGGAATTAATGAGTGAATCCCATCCCAATTCCCAAAAAAAACCCCAGGATAATGATGGTGGGAATGTATGGAATGTATGGAATGTATGGAATTCCCATAAGGGTATGGAATGTAAGGAATGTATGGAATTCCCATAAGGAACATGGGAATGTATGGAATTCCCATCAGGAATGTATGGAATATATGAATGCATGGAATTCCCATAAGGAATGTATGCAATGTATGGAATCCCATAAGGATAAAGAATATGAGAATGTGTGGAATTCCCATAAGGATAAGGAATGTATGGAATGTAAGGAATGTATGGAATTCCCCATCAGGAA